TAGCTTTGCGCGAAATTCAAAACAAACAAACAAAACTTTAGGCACACAGTCAAAGAGAATGACGATGATGGCACTGAATAAAGCGCCATCTTTGAAGCTTCCTTAGTTCATGACCTAACTTCAGAATGATCGTTTTTCTTTGAGGTGGGGTGGGGGTAGCTAATCCACAGATTAGCTTTATTGTGTAGCCTCGTGAGTTCCTTTTAAATATAACGTGAAATTTTGTATCCAATCTAAAATAAGTAGAAATACCAAACTTCATATATCTTACGAATTCTTTACTTTCACGAGAGAGTGGTGATCTCTTAATGCATTACTTCCTAATCTTACAGCGGTTATAGGTCAGTAAAAAAGTACTGTTTTCGTTCGCAAAATTTGTTTTGAATTCTTTAATGTTACACCGCACAAGATGCACATGCTCAGAAGAATTTATGACACATTTCTTAAGTATTTTTCTTTAAAAATAAACAACATGCATTGTTTGGTGATGAGTAACTTTAGATGAATTTCTTCTGTTACTATCGCAAACATTTCAGTACCAACGATTGGTTTATCTATCTAAATATCTCAGCATTGAAAATGAAGGAATCGGATAGCTTTATACTCTACTCCTAAAAGATTTGTTTGTTTTGGAAACTCGCGCAAAGCTATACAAAGGCTGTTTGCGCAAATTGTCCCTAATTTTGGACTGGTAGATTAGAGAGAAGTAGTTGTTCAACAGCAACCCATAGCTAACTCTTGTCTTCTCTCATCGAATAACGAGATTTGACTGTCACTGTTGTAACACATCCAAGGCGACAAAATGCCGATCGAGCGTGTTTTGGCGGAAACGGGACGTAAATCATGGAACTTCGGATTCACATCCCAGCAAGTTAACCATTTGATCATTCGGTCATCCTACTTAACTTTAAAGGATAATAAGAAAAAATTAATGTAACGGTACTAACGACCGTTTCGCGAGTCACGTATGCATTTACTTCATTCTGTCATTTCCCAGAGGCAAAGCTAAATAATAATTTAATAATTTTAGAGCTGAAACTCTTATTGTTAGAAAATCAATCATTTCACACACACAAATATTTTTATGGATAGTATCACTAAATTTTGTACATTTACCTGGACCAGCCATGCGACACCTAGTGTTATTTATCTTCCATATCAAATTCGTTTAATTTCCATTGTAAATGACATTTTCGGTAACCCTGATATCACAAGACCGAGGTTATAATTAATTGAGTAGAACCTGCATAAAACAGTTTTGTAGCCTTATAGCTTGATAAGGAAATCTTCCATTATAAAATAACGTCAATCATCCCCACCCCAGTTGTTTTAATAGTATAAATCAAGCAATTGATAATCTGTCATATGACTCGAATTGAAAATGTTTGGCCATATAGTTTAAGCTCGAAAAACAAAAACATGTTTGGTATGTTATATACTTAAATCTCGACTGTTTATAACCTAGAGGTAATGGTATTGTGTGCCACTCTTCTGAAAGTGCTGTCTCCAGGGCATCTTTAGTTTCTGGAGTCGCTTTACGAGATGTTTCCCAGTAGCAATCCATATTTCATTCGATGGGAGTAAGGTCTGAAGAACGTGCAGGTCAGCTCATTTAGCCAGTCTCCTTTTCATTAAGGACTGCATTGGTCTGGAGATTGGCATTAAGGAATGCATTGATCTCGAGATTAGCATTAAACAATGCATTGGTCTGAAGATTAGCATTAAACACTGCATTGGTCTGGAGATTGGCATTAAGAACTGCACTGGTCTCGAGATTAGCATTAAACAATGCATTGGTCTGAAGATTAGCATTAAACACTGCATTGGTCTGGAGATTGGCATTAAGAACTGCACTGGTCTGGAGATTGGCATTAAGGACTGGATTGGTCTGGAGATTATCATGTCTGGAATATGAATATGAATGTCTGGAATTATCATATTACGCCCTTCTTTCCCAAAAAACGCGGTCCGTACGTTTGGGTATAAAAGTAGTGGTCGAATCCCACTATCCTTTTTAAGAAGAGTAACCCAAGAGCTGGCAGTGGGAATTGTTACACAGCTGTTTTTCTTCTAGTCTGGCAGTTTACAATTATAGGTTACTAATAACAGGTAGCCGGATACCCCTTTATGTAGCTTAGCGCGAAAAGTGTGTAAAAAAAGGGAGGATTAATTCAGGAAATATCAGGACAAGTGGCCGTAGAATGTGGTCCATTTATTCTATAGGAGTAGTATTATTAGTGCTCTCAGCATAGTTTCACCTCCACCATATGCGTTTAGATCCTTTATAAAAATATAAATAGATTTTGTTTCAGCTTCTCTCGAGATGGGTATGAGCATGTTATTTCATTGAAGAGTGAAACAAGACTCATCTGTTAAAAGATCTAGTGACTCCACTGAATATGTTCTTGGCACCATTTCAGGATAGGTATTTTGCCTTGCTATACGCGGAAGGTACTTTACTGGGTATCTGTCACAGAGAACAGTCTTTTAAAGCCGATTTCTGAAAATTTATATATATTGAAAAGGCATTCAGCTGCG